ATATGCGTTCACGAACACCTGCTTTGCCTGGTTCAAAGTTGAGGGTCGGGCTCAGTGGGGTGCACAGGTGTTGGCACTTGGAGCTGCGCGGCCTGGGGCATGGAGGGCTCAGCGCACTGGGACGTGGCCTGGGCAGGTGAGTGAGCCGTGCCTCTGTTTTGGGCTGCTTCCTGGGGCGGGGGGCGTTGGGGAGGGCTGTCAGAACCAGCACAGCCCCCCGGACTTGCTGGGAGACCCCGCGTGCCTGTGCTCCTGGCCCTGCGGGAGTGGGCATTTCTCAGCATGAGAAGCGGTCATGCTTTTTTTTGTTAAATGCTCGTGGGGCAAAGTAAGACAGAGGTCTGCTTGTTTTCCAGGGCCAGCCAAGGGGGGGTTGTTCCGACCCTGTGTCACCACACAGAACAAAGGGCCTGAGGCTTTGCACAGGCTGCCCAGAGGCCCTGCCCCGTGGACCTGGGCTGTGTTGTGGGCAGAGTGCAGGCAAGGGGCAGCCAGCCGGGGGCTGATCGGCGCCTGAGCGGCTGACCCAGCCCCAGGGCTGTCCCAGACCACGGCCTGACCTGGTCCCACCCTCCTCCTGAAGGGAAGGAATCGGTCTCTCTAATTAGCGAGAGTGCTGCTCACGGAGAAGAGGCCACGTGAGCAATGGGGGTGTCCTGGGCGCCTGGCCCCAGAGAGGTGTGGACCTTTCTGGTTTGAGGGGGGTCGCCCCTCCCCTCCTGGGGCCTGGTTCTCTGCTTTCCCCCCTGGGTGCCATGCAGGCCCCTCCCCCACCAGGTGCAGCTGGGACCTGGAGCCGCCTGTCCTTGCGTGTTGAGCAAGGCTCCTTTGGCGTCACTGCTCCTTGGCCCCCGCCCCACCCAGGTGCTTGTTGGCGGCAGCCCCTGCCTGGAGGGGTCGGAAGACAGCCACCACGGAAACGTGGCCCTGTGCCAGGGTGCAGTGGACAGTGCCTGGCGGCCAGCGTCCTCCCCAAGGGCTGCCCAGCAGGGCCTCTGGTCCTCTGGCGTGACTGTTGGGAGGGTTCTGAAGCTCCTTGATCACTTTGCCCCACATCCTGGCCTGATCCCCACAGTGGTGTCCTGCATGGACAGGGGCTGCTGCCCGTGTGGCCACCCTGTGCTCAGGCCCAGGCCCTCTGTGCTGCCTGGCTCGCACAGCGGGAGGATGACTCTGGTGCTGCAACCCCGTCCCCGTCTATCTATGCTGCCCCCTGCCCTTGGGGGGGCTCCCCTGGGCGTGCTCGAAGGTGGCCGTGAGAGTGGGGTGTCACACTTAGCGGGGGTCGAGCTTGCTTGGGGTCTGTGCTGGGTGGGGGTGGGGGCCGGGATTCTGGCCTCCATCTGCTCTTGTCTGGCCCTGGCCCCCCTCTTCTGCCTGGAGCTCTGGCCTGGCCAGGGGAAGCAGGGTAGGTCCCATGAGGGGTGACACCAGCGGGTTGGGGATGTGGGGGCCTGAGAGCCCCCACGCACCCCCACAGTAGGCACTTTCCCTCGGCCCAGGCTGACGAGGCCACTGTGCCCTACCCCTGTGCTCGTGGCCCACACCGTGGCCGCACAGGAAGGCTGCTCTTCCTCGCCTCTGCGGAAATCCCACCACCCTTCAAGGCCCTCCCTGGCCGCCACCTCTGGGTCCCATTTCTTTGGGCTTCCTGGTCATCTCCGAGTCCCCATACGTCTTTGTCCCTTTTGAGACATGGTGAAAAGGTGGGGCTCTGGAGTCACCCCGCCGGTCCCAACTCCTGATGGCACTGGTAGGTGCTTTACTTCTCTGTGCCTCGGTTTCCTCATCTGTCAGGCGGGGCTGCCTGGCCGCCCTGCCGGCTATGTTGTCATTGTTCTGAAACGATGGTGCGGAGATGGTGCGGCGCAGGCACAGCGGTGGGGTCCCCGGTGGGGCCTTAGGAGGCCTCATCACCGTCCCTGCCTCAGTTTCCCTTCTCTAGCCCTGAGCACACAGGACCATTGTGGGGGTCTAAAGCACCCGTCTCCCGCAGGTGCATCTGCAGACGCAGCAGGAGGTGAGGCTGCGCATGACAGGCATGGCGCTGCGCGTGGTGCGCTCCGACGGCGTCCTGGCGCTCTACAACGGCCTGAGCGCCTCGCTGTGCAGACAGGTGCGCGGCGCAGTGGGCGCACGCCGGCCGCCGGCCCCGGCTTCCCACCTGCCAGGGCCGCCCGGTCCCAGAGCCCACGCCCTGGGCACAGACCCGCTGTGGGCGTCCGGGCTGCGCCTCCTCTCCCAGGCGCCTCACGAGGAGGGGCCGGTGCCCCAGGGTGGGCGTGGGGCCTGCTTCTGCCCTCCACGAGCATTAACTCCATTCTCACGGCTGGGCCCAAGACTTCCACTTACAGATGGGGAAACTGAGGCCTGGGGAGGGAGAGGGGAGGGTGCGGCCTTGGATTTATGAGCTGGCTCAGCCGCTTGTTGGCCGAGTGGCTTTGGGAAGGGCCCCCTGTGTCCCTGTGGTCCACGGGCCAGTGGCTGTGCACTGGCTGGGGCTGGGGTGTGGGGGTGCCTGTCCTCTGAGCCAGGCCCTTCTCCCGCAGATGACCTACTCCCTGACTCGGTTCGCCATCTACGAGACTGTGCGGGACCGCGTGGCCAAGGGCAGCCAGGGGCCGCTGCCCTTCCACACGAAGGTGTTGCTGGGCTCCGTCAGCGGTGAGTGGCCGGCGGCGGGGCACGGGGCACGGGGCGGCCGGGCGGGAACAGCGAGGGCGATGGCTGTTGGCTCTGGGGTTTGTGTCACCCCAGGTTTAACTGGAGGCTTCGTGGGGGCGCCCGCGGACCTGGTCAACGTCAGGTAGGTGTGCCCCCATCCCCCCACCCCCGCCAAGGTCGGGCCTTTCCTGTCCCCAGGTGGCTGAGGGCTGGCCGGGGCTGCTTGCTGGGGCCCTGGAGTCCCGGGTATTGGAGGGGCTGGGTGCCCTCCCTGCCAGCCCAGCTGACCAGCAGGGTGAGCTCAGCGGCCGCCCACCCCTCCTGAGCCGCAGTTCCGTTTCAGGATGCAGAATGACATGAAGCTGCCCCTGGCTCAGCGGCGCAAGTGAGTCATGGGCTGGGGGTGCAGGAGGCCTGGCCCGGAGGGACCCCAGTGGCTCTGCCGTGACCCAGCCAGGGCTCCAGCAGGCCACGCTGCCTGTGGGGTGACAGAATGGCGGGGGGAGTGCTGATGGCTTTCGGGAACAGATACTGGGCACATCTGGAGTCATTAGGGGTGTCACTCGGTCCCCCGGGACCTCTGGGCTCTTTCCGTGTGGCAAGACTCTTGTTAGACTGGGGTTGGGCTGGGGACCATCCCACCACCCCTAACCCGGGGCCCCGGGGGGGGCCAAGCCGGGCCACCCAAGGCCCGGAAGGCCGGGGGGGCCCCCCACCCTTCCAACAAGGGGCCGCAAGGGCCGAACCACGCCGGGGAAGAACCCCGGAAACCCCCCGGCCCCCAGCTGTGCGGCCAGGCTGTGTGCGGGTGCCATGCCCACTGGGGGCTCTATCAGAGCAGTTGGGGCTGGAGCCAGCGGAGCAGGGTGGGGCAGCCCTCAAAGGGGCCAGCACCGGGTGTTTCCTTGGGGAGCAAATACCTCACGGAGCCTCGGGTCCTATGATGGGGACACGGCTCTCCGTGGGGCCTGGGAGGACCTTCCCGTGGGACCTGGTGGTCAGGAGAGCCTCACGTGGCCCATTCTGTGTCCCTGGCAGCTACGCCCATGCCCTGGATGGCCTGTACCGCGTGGCTCGAGAAGGTGAGAAGGGCAGGCGCTCTGCAGGGGTGGCCGGGGGCATCGTGCAGGACTGGGCATCTAACCTCACCCGTTCCTTGCACAGAGGGTCTGAAAAGGCTGTTCTCAGGCGCGACCATGGCATCCAGCCGAGGAGCTTTGGTCACTGTGGGCCAGGTAGGCTCGGTGGGTTGGGGCTGGGGCAGCGTCGGGACTTCTGTACTTTGTCTTTAGGGGGATCCCAGAGCAGGGCAGTGGGCACCGAGACCCCCGTCGGGGAGCTGGGGCGGTGGGCATGGTGAGTCAGGGCCGCAGCCCTTCTTTCTGCCCTGACCCTGGAGCGAGCAGGTGCTTGTCGCCCTGGGGCCTATCTGCTCTCCCTGGAGCTGGGCCTGTGGCAGCCCTGACTGTCCCTGTCCTGCCCACAGCTGTCCTGCTACGACCAGGCCAAGCAGCTGGTCCTCAGCACCGGGTATCTGTCTGACAACATCTTCACTCACTTCGTTGCCAGCTTCATCGCGGTGAGTGGCCAGGGTGGGTGTCCCTGGCCTGGTCTTGGGAGCTGAGGGCACCTGGGATGCAGTGAGGGTTCGAGGGCGCAGGGGGCCTTGGCCAGTCTGACCCTGCCTCTCTGGGGATGAGGGAGTTCACGGCCAGCCCAGCGCCCAGACCAGGGTGCTCCCGGCAAACCCTGAGCCCTGGGGTCAGTGCAGTGGCGCTTTTTGGGCTGGCCTGTGGGGAACGCTTGAGGTCGTGGGGTGGCGCCCGCGGGCCCGTCACTGACGAGCCCCTCCGCAGGGAGGATGTGCCACGTTCCTGTGCCAGCCCCTGGACGTGCTGAAAACCCGCCTGATGAACGCCAAGGGCGAGTATCAGGTGCGAGGGGCGTCCGGGTCGGGGGCCCTGCTCTGCCACCGGCTGGAGTGCAGTGGCGTGATCACGCTCACCACAGCCTCCACCGCCTGGGCCTCCCGGGAGGACGGCAGGGCATCACAGGCGGAGCCGCCGAGCCAGGCTCGAGGGTCTAACTGCATTCGCTGTTGCTCCCCCGTCTCTGCAGGGGGTGCTGCACTGCGCGGTGGAGACAGCGAAGCTGGGGCCCCTGGCCTTCTACAAGGTGAGGCCGCGGCGGGGCGGGGGCGGGGCGGGGCAGGGGCGGCCCCCTGGGCTCGTGGTGTCTCTGGTCTCTCATCTCGTCTCCTTCCAGGGCCTCTTTCCCGCCGGCATCCGCCTCATCCCGCACACCGTGCTCACCTTCGTGTTTCTGGAGCAGCTCCGCAGACACTTCGGCGTCAAAGTGCCGTCCTGACCCGGCCGCGGGTCGCCGGCACCAGGTTCTTCCACAGAGTCGGGGTGGGGGTGCTGGACCCGGCACCTGCTCCCGGAGCCTCAGCCCCTCCTGGCCTTCCCTGTCCCCATGACGGTTGGCCCCTCGCAGGTGCCGTGGCCGGTGGGCGCTCGAGCCCACGGCACCGTCTCCCAGCAGCGTGGCGTAGTCTGGTGGCAGAGCAGGACCACGCACCCCTGGCTGCCGCTCACCACGCTCTGCGCGTGCACACGCACTGTCGGGAGGGACCGTGCCTTTGTGTCCCCGAGGGCAGCAGCGACGCCCTGCGAGGTGAGCAGAGCTCAGACCAGGACCCAGCTCGAGGAGGGATGGGCTCCAGCGCGGGCCAGGCTGGTGACGGCTGGGTCCCCGAGGTCTCTGCCCACCGCCACCCCCAGTCGCTTTAATGGCTTCACCAAAACCTCTCAGTGCCACCAGGCTGCTCCTGTCTTCAGGGAATGGGCCTGTGTCCCTCAGGCCACCCTCCTGGCTCCCAGCTCCTGTGTCCTTCCCTCCTGGGTCCCTGGGGCAACGGAACCCACATGGGGCTGAGGGGCCAAGGCGGCCGCAGGTGCGTCCTGTGGGCACAGCGGCTGCCCCACAGCCAAAAAACGGCTGCCTGGGTTCCGCTGCCAAAGCAACCTGTCCCCTGCAGACAGGGCTGGCCACCACGTCCAGCTGCCTCCCAGGTCCCCTGGAAGGGCCACGGGCACCAGAGTGCAGCTCACATGCTCTGCAGCAGCTGCTAATAAAGACGGAGCCCCTCTGCCTCTGTCCCCCACACTGCGCGCCATCCAGGGCAACACGCACCCCAAGTGCTGCAGGGCCGAGGGCCTTAGCTGGGACCGTGATGTTCGGCGACTGGTGGGCCGAGGAATTGGGAGAGTGAGGCCGGGCGTGCCGCCCCGGCGGGGTCTGGGCTGGTACGGAGCTCCCGGACCCCACAGGGCCACCCCTTCCCAGCAAGCACCGGGTGCTGCAGCCCCCCGCCGCGTGAGCGATCCAGGCTGGGCATCTGCGGGGCAGGGCTGCCCTCCCCCACCAGCTCTGGGGGTGCCCCTCAAGGGAGCCCCAGGCCGTGGGCCCAGGAGAGGCTGATGGTCTGGGGTTGGAGCCAGTGTGGCCGCCGCCCTGAGGCCCGGAGCTGCCCCAGGACAGGCCGGGCAAGGGGATGGGCCTGTGGTCACACGCAGACGCTGCCCTAGGCCCGGGCAGGGAGACCCGCGGGGCCCACGAGGGTGTGGAAGAGCAGATGAGAGCGCGGTAGCAGTTGCACAGCTCTGCGCCTGCGCCGAAAACCACTGTCACAACAAGCCTGTCGTCTGGGGGGAGGGACCCCCACCGCCTCCCTGTCCCCGCTTCAGCTGTGACCACACAGGGCAGCCGTGGGCTCCCCCAGCCCCACAGATCCTTCCCTGCCCACAGGTGATTTGGAAGCAGGTCTCAGACATGGCGTCATTCACATATAAATTACTGAAGCACATGTCTAAAGATTGTTTTGTCTGCAGAAGGTGGTCCCCACCCTGTGACCCGCCCCCCCAGGAAAAAACAAACATAACCCTGACAGCGATTCCTCACATGTAAACCCTCGACATCCTCGAGCGTCCACACCACGCTCGCGTGTCCCAGGCGCCATGTCCACTGTGGTAGGAGTCGGTTTTATTTGGACCAAGGTTCAACCAGAGCTTTCAGGTTTTTGTGTAAGTGCCCAGGTCGGACACTTGCGACTGGGCAAGTTCGTAGCGGCAGCTCTGGCTGGCGCATCCCACAGGGGCCACATTCCTAGAGCAGCTTCGATTGGGGCCTGGAACAGTGCCCTCGCCCCGCCCTCAGGAGGTGCCTGCCTGGGGGCAGTGCCGGTTCCGGTCTGGCAGGGCCAGGCCTGGCAGCGGCCTGAGCAGGGCAGGGTGCAGGGGCGGTGAGAGGGGAGGGCGCCGGGGAAAGCTCCCACCCACCTTCCAGAAGCTGCTTTCTGGGAGGCTACAGGGACGGGGCAGAGGGCAGCCCCTCCCTGGAGAGCTTGCATTCCAGGCCCCCACACTCCCTCTGGGGGAACGGTCCCCCAGCAGGAAAGCACTCAGTCCTGCGGGTCTGCTGCCCCCACCTGCAGGTCACATGGCCCTAAGCCGGAAGCCAACTGAGTGCTCACTAGGGCCCTGGGGACGGTTCCAAAGCCTGCACTCAGCGTTTCATAGTCAGCCTCAGCTTTTTGCCCAGCGACCGCAGCTTGCAGTTAACACGGTCCTGGTTCGACACTCCGACAGGGATGCCAAGCCAATGAGGTGGGGAAACTAGTCTTTTCAACACACAGTGCCTGGACAGCTGTCCACATGCAGGACACAGCCGGACCTTACCTTACACAAGGCAGTTCCCAGGCCGGGCATGGTGGCTCCTGCGGTCCCGGCTACTCAGGAGGCCGAGGCAGGAGGATCACTTGAGGCTGCAGGGAGCTGTGATGACACCACTGCGCTCCGGCTGGGCAACGGCGAGACCCCATCTCTTGAAAAAAAAAAAAAAAGTTTGAAATGGATCGTGGACCTAAATGTAAAAGTAGAAAACTTGTAGAAATAACTGAGAGCCAGCCAGGTGGGAACAAGCAGGGGATCTTTCCTCAACGTGCTGTCGCAGGGAGGCTCAGAGGCAGGCGGGGGGGGGGGCCGAGAGAGAGGTTCGTGGCAGAGAAGGGACAGTGAGGGGGAGCCCGGCTGGGGGCTGTGGCCAGGGAGCTGGGGGCGCCCACCAGTGAGGGAGCAGTTGGGCTTCCTGTGCTCGGGCCAGGGTCGGAAGGACGGACAAAAACGAGGGAAGCTGGCAGTTGTTGACCAGGTCTGGTCACTTTCCGCCTGTTGCCATTGAGGCTGTTTGGCCTCCTAGACTGGTTGCTGCAGACAGTGAGTCCGTTTTGTTTTACATTTTATACACCCATTGTCCGTTTGTGTATTCACTCAGTCAAAATCTGAGAAGGCGGCTGGGCGCGGTGGCCACGACTGTAGTCCCAGCTACCCTGGAGGCTGAGGCAGGAGGCTCGCTTGAACCCACAGGAGTCTGAGGTTGCTGTGAGCTGGGCTGAGGCCCACTGCACTCTAACCCGGGCAACAGAGTGAGACTGTGTCTCAAAAAAAAAAAAAAAGTAACGTTCTAAATTATTACATATCTTAGAGGAAAACAGGTAAATCATGTGACCTCAGATTTGGCAAAGGATTCTTAGACACCAAAAGCACAAGGAACAAAAGAAAAAATAGATACATTGAACTTCATCAAAATAAACACTTTTGTGCTTCAGAGGATGCTGCTAGGAAAGTGAGACTCCGCACAGTGAGAATATCTGTAAATCATACTTGATGAGGGACTCACGTCTAGAATATGTAAAGAACTCTTAACAAAAAGACGAGGTTTTTTAAATGGGAAAGGGGCACGATGGCTCACACCTGCAATCCCAGCACTCTGGGAGGCCAAGGCGGGAGGATCATTTCCTTTAAAATGTAAAACTCCAGGCTCAACTTGAGCAAAGCAGGAAAAAAAAAAAAGAAAGAAAGAAAACAGAAATTTAAAAGCCCCACACGTTTTTTTAGAAGTTTTGACAAAGTATATTCTTTAAAATTGAAAAAACTATTCCACATGATGCCTGTTGAAGATGAAGAAGTAACTCCAAACTGGATACATTATTAACAGCAACTGTTTCTCTAAGTTTCCACTGAGTAAACCTATTTGGTGGGGCATGTTTTAACATTGCAAATGATTTATAATAGACCAGCCTAAGAAAGAGCGAGACCCCATCTCTACTAAAAATAGGAAAATTAGCTGGGCATGGTGGTGCATGCCTGTAGTCCCAGCTACTCCGGAGGCTGAGGCAGGAGGATCGCTTGAGCCCAGGAGTCTGAGGTTGCTGTGAGCTGGGCTGATGCCACAGCACTCTAGCCTGGACAGCAGAGTGAGACTCTGTCTCAAAAAAAAAAAAAAAAAAAAACCAAGGATTTAAGGATTTGAAAAAACATTTCTCTAAAGAAGTTTAAAAAATGACCAATAAACACTTGAAAAGACACTGAATGTAAGTTATTAAGTAAATGCAAATCAGAACCACAATGAGATACTACTTAACACAGGTTGGGCTGGCTAAAATCAAAGCATAGCTAATAACAAGCGTTGACGAGGACACAGCAATCGGAATGCTCCTGGTGGGAATGCAAAGTGACACAGCCTCTGTGGCGAAGTCTGGCCGTTCCTCAAAAACGCTAACCCCGGAGTCACCCTATGGCCCGGTGGAGACTAAAGCGGCTCCTTCCCAGCTGCAGATCCGCCGTGTTGACCTCTGATTAGCCCCAGGTCCAAGAGTGCCCGAGACCTCTACTTTCACAAGATCCTGCCCTTAGGTCGAAACCACCTGGGCATTATTGCGAACACATCCCCTAAACCCCACCCTTCGGCAAATTCCTGCCTCTCCCCGAGGGGTTGACTTCACTGTCCCTCCCTGAGGGACAGTACAGGAGCTGAGCCCTGGGTCTGTGGGTGACAGTGCGGCACCCACCATCTCATTTCCCCCCCGCCCAGGACCCGGCCTCTGTTCCCAAGTCCCTGTTACGTGTTTCTGAGAAGCCGGGTTTGTCAGCCACTTCCTTCAGTCTCAGCTTCCTCACGGGGTTTCATTTTGGGGTGATGAAGATGTTCCAAAACTTACTGTAATGCTAATTGCACAATCTGCATATACTGAAAACCAGTGAATTATGCACTTTAAGTGGGTGAACTGTATGGTTTGTGAATTTATATCTATACATTTTTCTGTTAGACAAAAAAATAAATAAAAAGCAAAAACACCAGGCGACACAGACAGGCAGCAAGAAGAGAGCGACACAAACGAGGTCCCTCCACGTCTGCTGCTCTGTGGCGGCTGGTTCAGCATCGGTGGCCGCCAACCCCGCGGCTCCAGGAAATGCTCGGAGACAAACGGAAAACTTTGAAAAAATGGGATCATAGCACGTGTGACAGTTTAGAATGTTAAACAAAAACATTAAATATGTCATTCATTAAATAGAGTAGCTGGGACTACAGGCCCAGCACG